TAACAAAGGAATTCCCAGTGGGGCAGGTCTGCGGGGACAGAGTCCCAGGAGGAAGGGTGAGGCTGGCATGCTTGTCACAGAGCATGCACAGAGTAGACTCGATTCACACCAAGGAACACTGGGCCGGAAAGTTGGTGTTTGAATCTGTACTGAGAAGTCTGCATGTTGCCTGTGGCTAGCGTAATTCTAGGACAAGGGATTCTCCCACCCTCTGTTAAATCTGCTCATTGTTGAAATACGGAAAATTCAGTATCACCTAAATTCACTATGCTGCTGAGGCATATTTGTTAGGCAGCCTGCGGCTCTGTCCTCCTTACTTCCTGCTGGGTGTGACGAGTCCACGGTGGGCCATTAAGGGGTTGGCACCGAGAATGGCCAGGTGTCCCTGGGTGTCCCGGAGCGAGAGACCGCATCATGAAGGCAAAGATATGTTTTTTTCTGTGAGGATGTTTTTCATCTAAAAAGCAGCATAAATAAAGTATGTAGTCTATAAGTTAAATACTATATAATAAAAACCCCAGAAAATATATAGCAATAAGAAGAAATATCAAACACAAATTAAGTGTGGAAGTCTTGCTACCTCATTGTTAGCACTAATTTTTTTTTTTTCATTATCTTTGCCTCTTGCACGAGGAGGAACCCATTACTTCTTTCCTGGAAGTGCTTTCTGGCACTTCAAGTCTCAGAGGTTTGCCTGACCGCTGGCTTTCATCGTACGAAGACCTTGACACGCGGATATTCGAAAACTCCTGCGTGGCACTTTCCAGTTTCTTGTTTGAGCATTGCTGCTTTATTAACAGTTCTCTTCTCTATGTTGGCCTCCCATCACCAGAGATAACCACAATGAGTGTATTTGTTTTCAGTATTTATATGTTGCAATCATAAATGTAATTTTATATCTGTTTTTAATACTTCAACGTGTTATTTAACCTTGGAAGCTGTTTAATCAAAAGTTTCAGTTCTTTCATGCATGTGGGGTTTTATTGTGCAGTTATCATATCTCTCTCCCCTCCTTCGGGGAGCAAATCATTACTTGACTGGTACAATCTGACCTTCAGCTGTGATCTCAGATAATAGTTTGACCTGTTCTAGATTCCTGGCACCCTGTGGGAGGTTAGGGTATTAAACCAGAACTGTTTCCTTTCACCACTAAGGACAGCATCTGGGGATGAATGATTCAGCAAATATATTTCTTACATTGACTCTCGTGCATAGTTATTTTCACTTATTATTTATGTATTTAAGTTATTTTTAGTGATTAGTTATTTTTAGCTATCTGGTGAACAACTTTTAAAAAGTGGTAGCCTTTATTCTTGCATGTCACTTCTTATTGTGACTTGAAAAGCTTAACACTGAGTTAACATTGACGAGAACTGAGTTATGTAAGCAATTCCTGATCCTCCTTAAAGGAGGAAGTCAGAATCTTCCCAGAAGAAAATCGGTGGACTTTATTCTTAAAGATAGGCTTCCTCACGAGGTGATGAAAATGATTTATGTGGAGAAGGAATTTATGCTCTCCCCTGCCTCAGGCCACTTCCTCCTTGGCAGGGTAAGGTCCTTAAAAAGACAAGCTTTTAATTTAAAATGAACAAGGGGGACCGTTAGGTGCGAAAGTATCTCTTCTAAGAGCTCCTCTTAGCTTAAATATCCTTCAGAGGCCCAGCTGTGCCTAGGGAAAGGTTACATGTGCGTGCCGGGTAAGGCCACCTACAGAATTGTTACCAGACATTTGTAATCTAGGCAAAACTGTTCTCATTTGCTGAAAATGTGAAAGAATAGGACAAAGATGCTCGATCTGTTCTCCATGATCTGTTTACTTGCATCTAGGATTCAGGCAGGGATGGATTAATCCAACCACTGTCAACAGGCTTCACTTGAATTGAGTATCTTAACTCTGACAGTGATCAGTGTTCCATTAGGACAGAAGATCTGAAAATGCTGAAGACATGAACAGATTCCCTACGTAAATCAATTTTTAAATTTTTGTTTTTATTAGTACCTGTTTGCAGTGCATAATGATTACATTCACGGTGGGGAGTTGGTCACAGGTACATAATACCTCTCAATTTTTTTTCATCCCTTTCCTAATTTTTTTGTTTGTGTGTTTTAGTTTTTGTTTTTTGGTACCAGGGATCGAACTCAGGACCTTGTGCTTGCAAATCAGGGGGCAGAACCGCTGGACTAAATCCCCAGCCCCATTTTCTTAAGTTTTTTACAAATGTCTACTTTTCTTCTCTATGAACAGATACCAAATATAGACTCTTTGGTGTATTGTCAAATAAGAGCCACATTCTTTTGTAACTTTGGCATCTCAGAGACACTTTATCATCCAGAGGAAGTTTTGAGATTTGATACCCAAAGTTTCCAGGATTCCAGTGCTCTTTGTATAATTTCGGAAGCAAAGCCCTGGGATGATAGGGTGTTTGATGCCTGCTTTTGCACTTTATGCTCAGACAGTGAACATTATGAGGTAAATATAGGACGCGTCAGACCACAGATATGCAGTGTCACCTGTTGAGCCAGACTGGCTCTCAGGCCGGAAAGACTTGCTGGTAGCCCTTTGGGATGTGCACTGTGGCAGTGGGCTAGGCCACGGCGTTAGCCCTGACGTGGAGGAGTTGCAGAGCCATTTAGCAAAAGTCGGCCCCTATGATGGCAATTTCTCGCAGTATGATCCTAAGCAACACTGGGGTAACCACCTTGGTCCCATGTGCATTGTAATTATCTTCTGATGCCACCCAGATCTGGCATAGAAATAGAATGAGAGACGTCTGTTGCCTCTGATGTTAAATGGAATAGGGTTATGAATATTTCATATCTCGCAATTCAAATACATTTGTTTTTTTCAGACAGAGTCTATGTAGTTCAGGCTGGCCTTGAACTCACAGCTAGGGTTATAGATGTGTGCCACCACACTAGGCTTCAAATGCATTCTTGATCACAA